TAATTGCATGTAATTACCGGCCATAAGACTGATATCATAATACAAGCAATTATTTTAATAATATTATCATTAAAATGCATTTTGTGATCTGAAATTGTGATATTATAATATATTATTTATATACACACATATAAATTTTATATATATATATATATATATACAGTATTTATTGATTGCATAAATTATTATCATTATTATTATTATTACATACCTTTTATGCTCACAATTAAATTTATATTGTTTTGAACACACACACACACAAAATAATAATAAAAATTAAACTATATTAGCCATAGTAAATTATATAATAGAAATTATGATTGATAATAGTGAACATACACTATAAGTATTTGATGTTTGAATTTTGATAGTTTTTAATAATAGTATACTTATTACTACTATTTTAAAAATAGATGTTTAAATAGTTTTTAATTTTATTATTTTTTTATATTGTATTTTAATTTTTTTTTTAGTTTAATGCATAAACAGTATATATATATTTTTTGATAGATTGGATTATTTAAATTCAAGTTTTTTGTTGTTGTTGTTGTTGTTTATACAAATTTTCTATTATTATAATTAAATTACTATAATATTTATATTTATCTTTTTTAAAAACAATGCTCTGAAAAAAACTTACTAAAAAAATTTATTTTGTTGTTTATATTTCAAGGTTTTCATTATATACTGGTATATAAAAAAAAATTTTTTGATAAACTAATTTGAATGTCAAGTGTATGTTTTAATTTTTAACTAATAATAATATAATTATTATTAAAAACATAAAAATTATTATTAGTATTAATAGTTTGTATGTAGTGTTATGATAATAAATGGCTAACTATTAATATATATATATATGGCTGCCTACACTAATTTTTTAAAAAAAATTTATGTAAAACTAATTTTTGAAAAACAATTTTTTTGATGAAATAACTTTTAAAAATGTTGTTTTTTATATTTTCTATGTTGATTGTTGGGTGCGTAAAATTATGTAATATATATATATATTAAAATGTATAAATTTGCGATGATTTTCTATATAAAGATATTTTTATTTAGATTTTTTGTTAGTTTTATAGTTTCAAATATTTTTTTTTAAAATACAGTATATTAAATAATAAAGTTTTTCTTAATTTAATTATTTTTTTTACTTAAATGCATTTATAACACTTTTTTAACAATTTCAAACAAAGTTACAAAACAATTATTAAAATAAAGTTTTTTAAAACTAATTGTAAATTATCATGATAAAATTAATTATGCAAAAAAGTTAATGGATACTATAACAAACAAATAAAATAAAAAAATAAAATATAATCATAATTATTATTTATTTCACAATCAAAAATTTTTCAATTAACCTTAATTGTAGTTATTTTTACTATTGTCACACAATATTATATTATATTACACACACACACACACACACACACAACCTTAATGTCAATATTTTATTTTATTTTATTTATTAAATTAATTACGCAAAATAAAAGTTACAAACAAATAGTTTATATTATATTATTTTTTTAAAAAAAACCTTATTATAAACTATTGTACATTAATATAATTATGTATTTAAAAAGTAAAGTTTTTAATTTATTACTTAATAATTAACAGTTTTATTTTAATTAAAACGTTTTGTATTTTTAAAATTAATAAATGATTTATAAATATAGTGCAATTAAATATAATCATAATATGCATATTAACACTAATTAATATACTATACATTGATTATTATGAGTTAATAAATTATATCAAATTAAATTATATATATATAGTAGTACTGTATATAATTTTTACATGAATTTTCGTGAATTTTCAATGATTTGTTATCTCATATATTTCATCATATAGTAGCCCAGTTAGCTCAGTGTTTGTGTATATGTATGTGGGTCTATGTGTGTGTATGTGTGTGTATGTTTGTGTATGTGTGTGTATGTATGTATGTATGTATGTGTGTATGTATGTGTGTTTGTGTGTATTTGTGTGTGTATGTGTGTGTGTGTGTGTGTGTTTGTGTGTGTAGGTATGTGTGTTTGTGTGTGTGTGTGTGTGTGTGTGTGTGTGTTTTAAATTTTAAATAAATTATCAAAATTTATATATATACACACATTTATATATATATATATTTATATATAATATTTAACAACAATAAGAATCGATAACTAATTGAAATAATTATGATATAATTGATTAATTAAATATAATAGTTATTAATTAATTATTAAAAGTTATTAATTTTTTATTAAAGTGATAATATAGTACATTATTATTATTATTTTAATTATGCCGGTACCGGCATACCGGTGCAACTATACTATAAAATTACTATATAATAACTTACTGGTTGTTATGTACAATACTATTACAGTATTATTGTTACCCAATTATCTGATAACATAAATGAAACTATAATCGCCATCTATAGTACAACTAAGCTATAAAAACCTATATATATAAAAAATATATTGTATTTTATAAATAAAATTATTTAATTTAATAATTTATCTTGTTGTTATTATTATTATTGTAAACTAAATTATAATTATGATTTTTTTCTAAAATTTTAAAACATATTTTTTTTAATTAACAAAAATCTCTAATATATATATGTTATTTTATAATCACTATTCAAAAACAATTCAAATTCAATATACTCTAAAATTTGATTTGATTTTTCTTAAAAAACCAATTTTAAAATATATAATCATAAAAATGTATTTATTTAATACAACCTATAAAATATAATGTACTATAATATGCTAATTTTACAATAATTATTATTTTTTAAACTATATTTATCATTACAATTATTTTAGGTATCTAATATATATACAATTTTTAATTTAATATAAATTAATATAATTATACACTAGTATATATATTAAATTTTAAACTGTCAATCAATCAAATCAATTTATAATTTATTTTATTTTTTGTAAACTGTAACAAATTAAATGCCAGTTAATTCAAAATCATTTATTATTATAACTTTTATTATAATTATATCTTATTTCTACATTGAATTTATATTTCAATAATAGTTATTGAATTTTATAAACAAAACAAAAATATTTAATCGTATATTAAATTTATTTTTTGTTTTTTTAAAAAAAATATCACAAATAAATTTTTTATCGCCAAAATAAAACCCTATAAATAATTTTATATAAAAAAACTAATAATATTAAAACAATTAAATACTAATATTATCATCAAAAAAAAAAAACAATAGTTTTAAATTTTCTGTATACACATACAAACTTTAAAATAAAATAATTTATTATTATATATTTATATTATATATCATTTTTTATGTAATAAATAATTACATCAACAAATAATACACATATAATAAACACAATTTAATTGTAAGCCAAAGCTTTAAAAAACATATATTATATTAACAATAGATTTGAATATAATATACAATATATATAAATATATTTAAAAATTTATAAATATATATCTTTATATACATATAAAATACAATAACTTTAAATTATAAGCCTTAGTATTAAACATACAAATATTAATATATATATAATTTTAAAATGTAATGAAATTTGTTTGTTTTTTTAAAACAAAAAAAAATTAAAAAACATTTAAAAGTAGAGAATATATTACAGTATATTATTAGAGAATTGAGATAATATATTATTATTAAAATAATGTTTACCTAATGATAGCTATAATATACTGAATATGTTATAACACACACAGAGATTAATAATTAAATACTAATCTGTATAACTGTACATATAATACATTAAATCGGTTTTGTTTTTCGACAAATATCTATCAATTTGGCCGATAATTTGTTTCCTATTTACCGAATCAATGCTATACTGTCTGATAATATCTTTGATTGACGACTAGAGTTATGTTATCGCCTATCCATTGGTTTGTCTAATTTATCAGATCCTCGTCGGCTCTATAGTCTTGAAATAGTTTAAGTATTTTTAGTGCATTTTGACCATTGATTTTCAAGAAAATCAAATTCAAACAAATAGTCTTCAGTGAATCAAATCATATATCTGTCCGAAACGTATAGCAAAATAAGTTCCCATTTGATTCACTTTATCACACTTTCCAGTGATTGATATAATTGAGTAACTCTTCGAAGACATCTGCTGTCGATGTCAGGGATGACCACTTCATTAGTTGTGCTTTCAATACAATCAGTGGTAAACATTTTTTTTTCAAAAACCACTGATTTCGTGCTAAGAATCAGTTTCGATGCAAAAAAACTGTTTCTTGTTTTTTTGCCAACAATTAGTCGACAATCAGTTCTGACACACTTTGTGTATACAATCAGTGGATAATCGGTGACTCTTTTTTTCAGTAATATTTACCGCAATCTTCCGCGACTACAGTATATTAAATGTGACAGTTGTTTGTCCATCACTGAGAAGTCGATCCTAGCTATGGAACAGTTGGTACACCTCATGGATGTCTATCTTCCGCTCTATGGATACAACACTTGTATATTGTATACAAGGATTCATTAGATGATATTAAGACAACAGGTATTTAAATAACGGTAAATATGTTTATAATGATAACAAAATTAGTAATAATAGTTTTATTGGTAGTCTTATAGCTATTGATAGTGATTAAAGTCATACAAATGTATTGTATTGATAGCAATCATTATAATCTTATTGCTTATGTCATACAATCAATTTGTTAACCCATATCCTATCCAACTGTTCCTTAAGTGATAACTAACTATTGTTAGATAATAATTGATAATTATTTGTAACAAAATATATGATTTATGTTTAATTATAATTATTAATGTAACCAAATTATAAATTATAAAGATTACAAATTTTTATAAAAAAAATAATTACCGGTATATTAAACAAAATAATATTACGGTAAACAAAATATAAGTTATTTATTAATTATTGTATAGTATATTATACGGTAATAAAACCATACAATGATATAACATTATAATATAATTAATTAAAAAAAAAAATCATTAATCATTTAAATAGTTTTAGATGACTAAGCAATGGCTTCAATACGGCCCTCGGTTTGGGTATTGTTGCCAAACACGTGACAATATTTTCCGGCTGTTCTGTCCATAGATAGTACTTAACATTGTTTTCGTCCAACTTTTGGCAACACTGCCGAAGCTCTAGTTCACTGTCGGCTTTCAGTACAACTTTGGTCATTGAATCCAATTGTTTGATATACTCGACAGTATCGTTGTCGGCATCGGCGGCCGTATTGGCCGCCGTTGATGACGACGACGACAAGTTGGACACTATGGCGGCCACCGATGCGTGACACGAGTTACCTATTGATAAGTATAGTTAATCAGACAATTGTCTTAAAGATTGTCACTGTTTGTGACTAACATATATGATATATCATCCGCGCGGGAGACCTATAGGTATACCTATGAGAGCACCGACGGGCCAATTGAGATCACCTCTGACCACAATATATTGGACCAAAGTTTTGGCCATTTTTTGTTGTTGTTGTTAAACAAGTTGTTTATATATATATCACTGATATCTTTGATATCTTTATATGATTTAAATATCTTTCAAATACGACACACGTGTTGGCTATTAATAGACAAACAATTAGACAATTAAAACAATAATATTATTGAATTCAATACATGTTTCTATAGTAACCGCCAAAATGTTTTGTTTAGTAAACAACACGTGTTTTAATATATGTTTTGTTTGTTTGTGTTGTTTTGACAGTCATTATAAACAATACACTAATCAATCAATCATTCAATTAAATTAATTATTTAATTAATTGAAAGGACAGTTAGCTGTTGACAGTGAGATACGGTTAGTTGTGTGATAATTATCATATAATTGCTATGAGAGCTGTCATCCAACGGGTCCAAAATGCATCGGTATTTGGTTAGTATATATTTCGGTGACCACAACCACCATCACAACAGCCGATGAAACTATCAATTGATTTACTTTTATATGTTTTTTTCAGTCAACGATCAGCTGATCTCACAGATAGGCAAAGGTCTGTGCGTTTTGGTCGGCATATCAAGAGATGACACCCGAGAGGACATGGATTACATGTATTGTTGAATTGTTTTGTGTTTGTGTAATCATATAACTGATCCCTATATTTGAATCATTGGTCTCTCAGTGTCCGAAAGATATTGAATACCCGATTGTTTGACAATCGGGAAACAGGGAAACGATGGTCGGATAGTGTTGTCGATAGAGACTATGAAATACTAAGTGTCAGTCAGTTTACACTCTACGGTAACCTCAAAAAGGGTAATAAACCTGATTTTCATCAGTCGATGGACACGAAACTGTCCGAAGATTTTTACAATGAATTCTTGGATAAGTTGCGGACCGGATATAAATCGGATAGAGTTAAAGGTTTGGGTGTTTTTTTTGAAAATAAAAAAAAGTGATTATCGGTAATAAAATTGTAATTAATTGGATTTTTTCGGTGTATTTGTTGTTTAGATGGACAGTTCGGTGCTATGATGGCCGTCAATATCTGCAATGACGGACCCGTTACCATCACATTGGAGTCGCCGACGACGACAAACAAAAGTACACAACAAACAGATAAACCAACAAATAGTTAAATAATAATAATAATACAGTAATAAATAAAATGTTTTAATTTAATTTAAATAATTTATTTTTTCTGTGTCTCATTATATACAAACATTATTATAGTGTAGATTAAATGTTTTTTTAAAATATATATAATTACCCGGTTAATGTCTATATATAGATAATGATAGTTTTGTTAACTTATTTTTACTAATGTTAAAGTTATAGTGAATTACCGGTACTATTGAATACAATGTTATTATTATAATTTTTTTGCAAAAAAAAATTATTTAAAAAAAATTAAAATTATGTTTTAATTAAATGTTTTTTTTAAAATAATTTGAATATAATAAATATATTTTAATAATACGTTAAAAGTGAGAGAGCTATAGATTTTCAATAGTACTTAATTTGTAATCATAATATTTCAATTAAATTATTAAAAATTATAAAATTGTCTAAATTGTTTGTCAATTAATTTGTTACAGTTTTTTAAACAGTAATTTCAAAATATGTCTCATTAATTAATTTTAAAAACTGTAAAAAATTAATTGACAGACAATTTACACAATTATATAATTTTTAATAATTTTATTAATTATTATGATTACAAAAAGTCTATTGAATATATGTATATCTCTCTCTCTCTCTTCGAGAGAGAGAGAGAGAGATTAAAAGAGAGTAATACAGACAGTATTACAGATAAATAGATATTAGATACAGATTTTTAAATACAGTATTTTAATAGCAATTGAGATTTTTGTTGTTGTTTTGTTCATTAATGTCATAATTACTGTAATTTTTTTACTGATTTAAAATTTGTTTATTTATTTATAAAATTTATTTTTGTACAATATATATAAATATATGTATTTTAAATAAGTACATAGTTATGATTTATAGTATATATATATATATATATAATAAAATAATACAATACTCTTTCAAATAAGAGTATTTATGCTTATATTAATTTTTCTAACATCTAATATATATATAATTATCTATAAATAAATCTTAAATCATATATTAATTAACATAAAAAAAATTAACAAATAATCGGTTAATAAATTTAGTTTTCGATGGATCGGTAATATATTATAGATAAATAAAAATAGACAAACAAAGAGAGAGAGAGAGAGAGAGAGAGAGAGAGAGAGTGAGAGAGAGAGAAAAGGAGAGAAAAATTTAATATTTTTTTATTAAACTTGAAATTATTGGTAAAACTTTTTTTGTTTTGTTTCTAAAAAAATACATACAATTATTGTGTTGTTGTAAAAACATTTTTTTTTAAAAATATATTAAAATTAACATAAAATTATTTTTTATATATTTATTTCCTTAAATCCTTAACAAACAAAAAGTAGCAAAAAATTAATTTAAATCATAAAAGTGTTGTCTGAAGGCTGGGCTGAGGTAGCCATCGATGGTATGGTATGTCATTGTCGACCACTTTATTATACCGATGATTACCCGACGACGATGGCTATAATAATCGGTAAAAAAAATTATTTGTTTTTTTTAAATGAAATGTTTTATTTAAAAACAAATTTTTTAAGTCAAACAAATCACATGTTGTTTCGGCTACCGATTTGCAACACATTAACTGCCGTTTCAATCAAACCAATGGTTTTTTAGATATAACATGTAATCACTACTGATCTCTATATTTGTTAATAAATAGTAATAATTATTTAATTAATTAAATTTAATTTAATGAATTTTAAATCACATTTTTTTTTAAAATTATTTGTTTGTTATTATTAATATTATTATATTAATCAATGGTTTATTGTTTCACATTTGATGTAATGATTGATTGATTTCTATATGTTTGTTAATAAATATAGTAATAATTATTTAATTAATTATTAATTTTAAATCACAAATTTTTAATTTAAATTATTTATTTTGTTTGTTATGATTATTTTATTACTGTATTATTGATTGCATCACATAATTGTTAATAACATTTGTAACCATAAAGTATGTGTTTATGTATTAAATGTGTTTTTTTAATAGATATGTTAAACCAAAACAATTTTTTGTATATATTAATAAAAACCAAACCAATGGGTTAAAGTTTTTTTTTACAAAAAAAAAGTTAATGTCAACTAATTTATAATTTTTATTATTGTTATTATTACTATTTTATACTAATAAAAATTTATATATATTTAGATAAAAGTAATTTAGTATTAAATTTTAGTTATTATTATAAGAATTTCAATACTATCTCATAATTAAAATACATATTTTCACAACAAATTATTACTAATAGTATATTTATTTATTAGTTAAATACAATTTTATGTTAATTTATGTTAATAAAAGAAAAAAATTATTATATAAATAATAAAAATATTGTAAATTATTGATAGTTATATATATATATTTAAATATTAGATTTATTTTATAAATAAATTTATATAACAATATCATATGTTAATCAATATACCATAAAATATTGACAAATAAATAAGATATTATTATACTATAAGTTATTATAAGTTATATTATAACTTTTATAAAGTTATTTAAAAATCATTGTTAAATATATATATTGATTACAATTTTGTAATTTAATTTATTTAGCAATAATAATACATTTTTGAATATAATTAAAGATTTTTTTTAATAATACATTTATTTTAAAAATATAACAATTTATTTAAGAGGACAACGAATTAGATCTAATATAAATTTGTTTGATATTAGTATTAAAACAATTATAAATTAGTATTGATTAAAAAATTACAATATTGCCAAAATTAATACTATATTTATTTAATTGTATATAAAAATTTGTAAATTAAATAAATATTTTTTTAAAAAAAACCTATCGATATAGTAATAGTAATATTTATAGTTATTTTAATAAAACAAATAAAATTACTGTAAACTTTTATTACATTAAATTTATTTGAAAACAATTAGTAATTTTTAACAAACAAAAAATAAATAATAAATAATTTTTTTTAGTTTGTAATAATAGTATATAAATTTATTATATAAATTATCATGGTGTTTTTGAAAAATATATCTAAAAAATACTGTTTTATACATATTTATATAGTATAACTAAAGGTGTCACTACTATAAAAAAATTAAAAAAATAAATAAAAACTCAATAATAATTTTATCAAGTATTTTTAATTATATATATATATATATATTAATATATATTACTAATTTAATTATGTAAAAATTAATTAATTAATTTTTTTCAATTATTATAATTATTATGCTATAAAATTTATAAACTATAGTATGATTTTTCTGCTAAATTATTATATATTTGAATATTAATATCTATAAAATGTAAGTTTGATTTTTTGATAATTGCCTAATAATAATAATTATTATTTTTATTATAATTATACTTATAGTAATATAGTTATTTAATATACATTAATTATTTATTATTAATAGTTATATTTTTTATTTTATTTTATAAATAATTATTTTAAATCAATTAATAAGTAGCACTAATTAAAATTTACTGTTTTATATAAATAATTATTTTTATATCAGAAATAATTATACTGTATATAACTTATATATAATTATTCATATTTATCATTACTATTATTATAAAAATATATATAAATTTATAAACTGTATAAATTAGATAAAAGATATTTACTATTAATAATTTTCATTACAATTTAACTACATTTTTATGAAAACAAAAATATTATATTTGTTTTTTATATAATCATTTTTTTTACTAATACAATAATAGTTAGTTTTAAGCAAACAAAAAATAAAATAAAATAAAATTAGTACTATTAGATCATAAGTATTATATCAGTAACTATTTAAATATATTGTAAGAGTATAGATGACTAACAATAACAATAAAGTAATTTTCCTAATAATAAATTGTTAACCATTTGATGATATCATATAATGAATATACAGTATATTGTATAATACAGTATAATATTATATACAGTATAATATATTAGACTTTATGAGAGTGTAATTATATGAATCAAAAAAACAACAAAATATATATATAAATAAAAGTTTTTCTCTTATATGAAGAGTGTCTGAGAGATGAGATGAGGTGTTGTTGATGTTGAAGACAATGAGTAAACAAAGAGAGAGAGAGAGAGAGAGAGAGAGAGAGAGAGAGAGAGAGAGAGAGAGAGAGAGAGAGAGAGAGAGAGAGAAAGCTAAAGCAAATGGGTTTTGTTTGTGATGTGAAAGTGAACGACACGACCATTGAGTTCAATGTAAATAATAAATACTAAATATCAGACCATTTATTAGCTTTTCTCGCTTAATATATATCTCATACATACCATACCATACTATACTTATAACTACCCCGTTATATAAATGAGGGAACAGTTAGAAAATAAATAGATAGATAGAGATGATTATTCAATGTGTTTTGTTGGTTTGGTTTTCGGGTAATAAGTTTTTGTTATAAATCAGATCCGAAAGAGAGAAAGAGAGAGAGAGTCGTATAGTTTAGTTTTATTAGCAAATTATTATTATTATAAAGTTTAAAGTTATATAACAAAAACATTTTATTGGTTACGGTTTTGTGGATTTAATTTTTTTTTAAACATAATATATAATAAATATATTTTTGGTTTGGATTTTTTTGTTGGCTAAAATTTGCACCGATTTTCAACTCTATGTTATTTATATATATTGATAGCATAAGTCTGTATGAAAGGTCGAGAGCACCGATAGTTTAGTTTTAATATCAATATATTTGTTGACTAAGACATGCTTATCATATACTGTATATGATATCTATTTTAATTTTTTTTGTGATGTCGTGTCTGAAAACTACTAGAAAACAAAAAAACAACAACAAAAAGTCGCGACAACTTATCCTATGGATTATAACAGTATATATATATATATATATATATATATATATACAGTATATATAGTTATAGTTAGTATATATATATATATAGTTTTTGATGAGCGGGTAATCTATTAGCCATTCGTGAAATATGTTGCGCCGAGAGGTTGAGTGAGGAGTAGAGGAGAAAAACAAAACAACAAAAATATATAATAATAATAATAATAATA